CGATCTAGGTGTAATACCTAGTGCATCAGGTCCAATGAAAATCTTTTATGATAATACTGGAGCAATTTCCTTGGCAAAGGAATCCAGATTTCACAAGAGAACCAAACACATCATGAGATGCTTCAATTCCATCTGCCATCAAGTCATGGAGGGAGACATAGAGATTTGCAAGATACATACGGATCTGAATGTTGTAGACCCGTCGACTAAGCCTCTTCTAGGAGCAAAACATGATCAACACCAAGACTCCATGGGTGTTAGAATCATTACTTTGTAATCTAGATTATTGACTCTAGTGCTAGTGGGAGACTGAAGGAAATATGCCCTAGAGGCAGTAATAAAGTTGTTATTTATATTTCCTTATATCATGATAAATGTTTATTATTCATGCTAGAATTGTATTAACCGGAAACTTAGTACGTGTGTTAATACATAGACAATACATAGTGTCCCTAGTATGCCTCTACTTGACTAGCTCGTTAATCAAAGATGGTTATGTTTCCTAACCATAGACATGTGTTGTCATTTGATGAACGGGATCACATCATTAGAGAATGATGTGCTGGACAAGACCCATCTGTTAGCTTATCATTATGATCATTACAATTTTATTGCTATTGCTTTCTTCATGACTTATACATGTTCCTCTGACTATGAGATTATGCAACTCCCGAATACCGGAGGAACACCTTGTGTGCTATCAAACGTCACAACACAAATGGGTGATTATAAAGATGCTCTACAGGTGTCTCTGAAGATGTTTGTTGGGTTGGCATAAATCAAGATTAGGATTTGTCACTCTGTGTATCGGAGAGGTATCTCTGGACCCTCTCGGTAATGCTCATCCCTATAAGCCTTGCAAGCAATGTGACTAATGAGTTAGTTACGGGATGAAGCATTACAGAACGAGTAAATAGACTTGCCGATAACGAGATTGAACTATGTATGATGATACCAATGATCGAATCTCGGACAAGTAACATACGGATGGCAAAGGGAACAACGTATGTTGTTGTGCGGTTTGACCGATAAAGATCTTCATAGAATATGTAGGAGCCAATATGAGCATTCAGGTTCCGCTATTGGTTATTGATTGGAGATGTGTCTTGATCATGTCTACATAGTTATCGAACCCGTAGGGTCCGCACGCTAAACATTCGATGACGATTTGTATTTTGAGTTATGTGTTTTTGATGACCGAAGTTTGTTCGGAGTAACGGATGAGATCACGGACATGACGAGGAGTCTTTAAATGGTCGATACATAAAGATTGATATATTGGAAGGTTATGTTCGGACACCGGAAAGGTTCGGACATTTTTCGGAGTACCGAGAGGTTACCGGAACCCCCCGGGAGAGTATTGGGCCTTCATGGGCCTTAGTGGAGAGAGGATGCCGGCGGCCAGGAGGTGGCGCCCCCCCCCCCTAGCCAAACCGAATTGGACTAGGGGAGGGGGCGCCCCCCTTTCCTTCTTCCTCTCTCTTTCCCTTCCCCCTTCTCGTACTCCGAAAAGGAAGGGAGAATCCTACTAGGACTGGGAGTCCTAGTAGGACTCCCCCTTGGCGCGCGCCTTCTAGGCCGGCCGCCTCCTCCCTCCATCCTTTATATACATGGGCAGGGGGCACCCCAGAGGCACATCAATTGTTCTTTGTCGTGTGCGGTGCCCCCCTCCACAGTTTACGCCTCCGGTCATAGCGTCGTAGTGCTTAGGCGAAGCCCTACGCGGATCACATCATTAACATCGTCAACACGCCGCCATGCTGACGGAACTCTCCCTCGACCCTCTATTGGGTCAAGAGTTCGAGGGACGTCATCGAGCTGAACGTGTGCTGAACACAGAGGTGTCGTATGTTCGGTACTTGGATCGGTTGGATCGTGTAGATGTTCGACTACATCAACCGCGTTAACTAACGCTTCCGCTTTCGGTCTACGAGGGTACGTGGACACACTCTCCCCCTCTTGTTGTTATGCATCTCCTAGATAGATCTTGCGTGATCGTAGGAATTTTTTTGAAATTGCATCCTACGTTCCCCAACAGTTCATCCAACAAGAATGCAATAAGTATTGTGCCGCACTTGAGAGTGTTGAAGCACATCCCGTGAGTGGTCTCGACATGGGGGACATGGTATGGTCTCTTATCTTTCGTTGCTACGGTCATGACTTCGGCCTTCTATATGTTTGCACGTCCAATTTGTTGTTCATCGTGTAGGCATTTCAATCTTTGGAAGCATTCAAGGCCTGACACAATGACAAGCCATTCACTCTTACACATTGTTGGACGATCATCAACAATTGCCATAAGATCAAAGATCAATACAGTGAACTTCAAAGGAAGAGAGGCAAGAAGATGACCGCGTTGGCCGGAGGTGGAGATGGTGAGGCGTTGAAGAGGCCGAGGGGCAAGACCAACTCCAAGTTGGACGACAAGTGTGATGCATCTTCCTTTGCCTTGCACGAGACTTTGCACGGCATGATGTCTCAAAAGGAAGTGAGGGACGATAAGAAGCGACAAAGCAAGGAGGAGCAAATGAGGCAATACCTGGAGCTTCAAAGGAAGAAGCTTGGGATGGAGGAGGCGGCCAAGAAGAGGAAGATCGACATGGAGGAGGCGTCCTGGCAGAGGCAGCTCGACATCGAGGCCGTCAATACCGCGGCCTGGCAGAGGCAGCTCGACATCGAGGCCACCAATGCCGCAACCAAAGCAAATGAGGTGGCGCTAGAGATCATGAGCGTCGACATGAGCAAGATGAGCGAGAAGACGAGGAGCTGATTCGAGGCCCGACATAAGGAGATGTTCGACGCCGACGACCTGAACTAGGTGTTCTGTTCGGTCGTGGCCGTTCTTTTTGGAGGCTGGCATGGGTGTCGGTCGCTGGTTTTGTGCCGGTGACAAACCTATTCATTTTGAAGGTTGGCTGTATTGTCGGCCGCTGATTGTGTGCTGGCGACAACACTATTCAGTTTGGAGGTTGTCTGTGTTGCCGGCGAGGTCGTGTAGGCTGACTGTGTTGCCAACGTGAACTAGGGCCGCTGGCATGAACTACATGTCATGGTTTTATTCAAATGCGTCCGCGCGTTGGGCGCACGGCCACCGCATCCCAGAAATGACCTGGACTCGACCCCATTGTCCATTTCAAATGGACAGAATCCGACCTCAAACGGACGTCCGTTTGAGGTCGTGCGCTGGAGTTGGCCTTAGGTCTCAAAGATTCATGCAACAAGGGTCCCGACGATACCAGGCGGCGAATGGTAAGAGGAGCATGTTGTTGTTAAGTGCTAATAGTGAGAGTTAGAGGGTGTTTGTTTCCAGGGACTTATTAGCTTAGGGACTTGAAAAAGTCCCTATAAGTCCCATCTAAACCAAACATGAGGGACTTATAGGGACTTAAAATGGGCATTTGAGACTTATGAAATAAGACTCTCAAGGAGGGACTTATAGTTGTAATATGGTCTTATAGGGACTTATAAGTCCCATGAACTAAACAGGTAGGGACTTTTTAGGGACTTGGGACTTATAAATTAGGACTAAGAAAAGTCCTAGAACTTATGAACCAAACAGGGCCTTAACATGTAGTATTACCTCCTCGGAATTAGCTGCCGCTTCACTCAATTCAAAGAGACAGTTAATTCCGAATGGAGGGAGTAGGCATTCAGCGTTGCTACACACACGATAGTCCATCGATCGGCCAGTTAGTGTCGGCTGCACAGTACTTCCGGTAGGCATTTACCATTGAGATCTCTTTACCATTTTGCCATACGAACGTGTTCCTGTCCGTCTATCCAGGGTTCCTATCTCTGTCTGCCCAATGATTCGCACCGAGAGGAGGGTGGTCCGTTGAGACATGCGGCCGAGTGTTGGCTGCAGTGTGAGCTGCCTCAACAAGAGACACCGCAACATGCCATACCAATAACTCAGGCCCTTATCCCCCCTACAGCCGGACGAGCAAGATCCAACAGCCAGGGGGTGAAATCTTGCAGGGCTATATTTTTTGCTGGTCCAATGCTACATGCTAGCCAGAAGCACAATGGGCAAAATCACATCGGGATCGGTACTGCTCTGTAGCACATAAACATAGATGAGACGACATATGGCCGAACAAAGATAGACGAAGACCACCCACCAAACAACACAGACCAAACAATGCAATACCGTAAAAGAAAAGGGAAAAGTGGTATTGTATAGTTATGGTACCACCTGGAATCAGCCAGTTCAGCGGCTGGCTGAACAGCCCTTCCAGTGACACTGAAGTGGTAGCAACGAAAATGACACTGAAACATATGCAGCGAAACAGCTCCAGAGCAAGATCACCCGAAGACAACCATAAGAAGGATGTACAAACACACTCCTGACATGCGTGATCACGAGCCTAGAACGGATGGCAATTTGGCAATGGGATGGATGCGGACAGGCAGCAAGGGACCAAAGGCCTCCACAGGAGACGGACGTTTTCTTCCTCCAAGGGCCAGACCACGAGCCCGAAAACTTTGCGCCAGGCCTCTGAAGATGTTGCCAACTTCCTCTTATATCCTTCCTGACAAAAAACACATACGGATGCTAATCGACTTCAAGCGGCGACAAATACTGCCTGGCAATGGCAAAAGGAGGAGCAAACACGAGAGAGCTGTGCGACAAGAAAACTTTAAACCTACGGCGACAAATCCCTGCGCCGGAAAAGCGGGAAAAGATGCCACAAAGGATAAAATTTCAGAACGGAGTTCGTAGTACACGCATGCAGAGAGGGAGCCAGAGATGTTTGAATCGACGGTGAAAAGTGGGACGAGCAAGAACATTTTTATACACCATTTCAAGATTCGGAGCGAGCCAAAAAAAGAAGCAGCAATCCTTTACTGTTTTACACAAGAGCTTGGGTCGATGATCTCTGTCAATTCTACGTACTGGCACAGTGGCAGTGTCGCCTGCCGGCTCCGGAATGTTAACCAAGAGACAAAAAGAGGACGGTAATTAGGTACGATGGGCGGTTAATTTGGCGCGCGCGCGGCTAGACCTTGTAGACGATGAGGAAGCAGGGGAGCACGGCGCGGCTGTCCAGGACGACGAGCTCGCCGTTGCCCATGTCCACGGAGTCGTAGTGCGAGGAGCGGTGCCGGAGCGCCTGCGGGTCGTCGCCCAGCGCCGGCCGGACGCGCCCGGCGATGACGCGGCACACCAGCATGGCCCTGCGAACCGCGCCGGGCGACGGCGCGGCTCTGGCGTGCGCGGTGCCGCTGCAGGCGAAGGTGCGCACCGCGGAGCCGGACGGGCCGAGTTGGCAGGTGGCGACGCCAGCACCGAAGACGCCGCCCACGCCCGCGCCCGCGGCCGGGCGGCACTGGAAGCGCATCATCTCATTGCCGTCGGCGCCGCACCGGGCCGCGGCGCCGTGCGCGCGTGCCGCCGCCCTGGCCTCCTCGAACCGTGCCACCGCCCGCGCGCCGCTGTGCACCCGGAACATCGCCTCCACCTCCGGCGGTGCCGCGGCGGTGGCCAGGTCCCAGCCGGACGAGAAGATGAGCTCCACCACCTGCCGCGACGAGTGGCCCTCCGGCAGCTCCGCCATCGTCAGGAACGCCGAGCTCGCGGGCGCGGTGGCGGGCGACGGCATGAAGGCGGCCGCCGTCTGCTTGGGCTTCTTCTTGGGCCGCGGTCTCGCCAACTCCTGCTGCCTCTCCTGCCCGTCCCTCCGCCGCTCCCGGCGCGGCTTCTGCTGCTTCCAGGCCTGCCGCGCGGACGACACGGAGTCCCGCACGTCCGCCGCGGCGCCGCACGAGACGGGGAGAAGCGGCTGGGCCTGCTGCGCCTTCTTGCTCGGGGACGGCGCGACGACGGCGTCCGCCACGCCGTAGGACCTGCAGCTGAGGGACCGCACCCATGCCGTCGCCATCGTGACGGCCAACGCAGGCGAGCCAGGAGCAGAGCGCGCGCTCGAGGGAACCGGCGGCGGCGGGCAGTGTCGGAGCGAGCTCGTGGTTCGCTGGGCGTATGGAACGGGTGGTGGTGGCCTGGGCGCGGCTGGCTTGGCTTTGCTTGGCTCCGGGCGTTATTATGGCGGGCCGCCACTGGCTGGTGGCTGCACCGTGTCACTGGCATCACACTGCCCAGTCCCATCTCCATTAGCCCACGCCACTCCCATCAATCCATCGTCACTGAAACGTGGCCCTCCACGACAGCGGGACCCACATGCAAGCGAGAGGTGAACACGTTGGCGGCCCAACATGATTACCTCATGCTTAGTCCTAGCTGTAGTAAGTACCGTACCTTTTCCATTTGAAATCAACCTACCACTATTCAGATTTGATTTTTTTATGGAGACAAGGTACTACTAGTAGTGCACTTTGTGCTGGTCTTTTGAGTTGTGCTTGGCGTTCGATTTGCTTTGGTTTTTCCGTTTGCGTTTTCGAATTTTATTTCGACTTGACTTGTGACAATGGGAGGAGGCCGGGCCCGGCAGAGTGGAGATCTATCTGCTCGGGCCAAGTGAGTGAGGGTGGGAGTGATCATTTGCATTTGGATTTTCCCACCCTTTCTCGTTCCCTTCTTTTCCTGAAGCCGTGGCCGGTGGCGTGGTGCGTGCCCGCTTCTTTTTCCACTTCTTTCTTGGAGCTCCCTGGCACGCGCCGGCCTGTTTTTTCTTCGTGCTTCTTCTGGTATGGGCATCTACGAAAGAAGCTTCCCTTTTTGCTGTTTTTTGTTGACTGTCTCCTCTCCGTTACTTTGCTAACATCTGTTGGCGGTGGGTAGCGAGCGCTTTTGTTTTGCTTGCAACTCGTAGGAGTATAATTCCGAGCGAGAGATAGAGACGACAGCCAAAAAGGAGATAAGTATCCAAGGCGATCTAGCGGGACGTCGGGGTAACGCCATCTTTTTTTGAATTCAAAAAACGCGAGTAAATACAGCTATCGATAAACGGCCGCCATTAACTGCACGGCCAAACCTAAGTTCGGTTCGAAATTTACGGAGATTCTGCAGTTGGTTTGTAACGCCAGACAAGGTTCGCGAAATGTGGGCAGTTAGAGCGCTACTGCGCGCGGCGCGCATAAAATGCTTTGGAGGTTAGCACGTGTCGAAGTTGACGAGGAGATTAGTGGCAAATCTCCCAGGATTTAGCATCCACGTTGCCCTGTTGGTCCCCTGGCGACAGTATCTAGATTGTTAATTAGCTGACTAGGATTCTGTTAATCACACTGCCATCTTGAATCGTGAATAAGAGAGCTCTGTCCCGCTCGAACTGGTTTCTCACTGACCAGCACGCAGCAGCTGCGACATCTCATTCCCCAACCACCTCGCCAACTGCAAAGCCACGGCGGCTATATAAAGATGGAGATGATAATGTTTTCAATCGTGGTGACAATTCATAATTAATTAGTCGGTGGTTTTATATAGTTCACATTACTATATTAGATATAACCCTGGTTAACTTCACTTGAACATGAAGAGACGAGAGCAGGAATCTCTAAACCTACGAAAGCCTATATAGAATACACGTACTGCTACACCACGTATACACATTGGTCTTGCTCATGTTCCTAAATACTCCCTCCGTTTTAAAATAGATGTCTCAACTTTATACTATAATTAGTATAAAGTTGAGTCATCTATTTTTGGAACGAAGGGAGTAACAACGATGTTAATTAGTTCTGACGCACGCCATGATTGCAACAAGGTGGGAGAAGAGACACCGCAATCTAACCCTGGCTACTTCGATGGTCATATCCCCTGGGAGGGGAGTACCGAAGCAAAGCTAGCAAAGCTACATGTACAGTAACTCATGATCAAAGATTTGATGGCGCCCGAATGAGGTGCACGCTCGCACAAGCTAGTCATTCCAACACGAAATCCACGGCCATCAACCCCTCTCTTCTCGATCATTCCCCCAAAGAGATCTCGGCAGATCATTGCGCCTCAACATCGAGATAGAAAGAACGGCGCGCGGCTCGGTCGTCAGATGCTTAATTTCCTCCATTAACGCGTGCTTAATGATGCTTAGTCTGAAGCACTGCGCCACGACCCGTACGTGGACGGCGTGCTGCCAGCTCTCCCGACGGATTTGGACTGTCAGCTTTAAAACATGATTAAAACAGCTTTTGACTGTTAAAGATGGCAAGTTGGGGGCTTAACTTGCGCAAGGTATGGCTGGATTCCTGCAACTGCAACTGCTAGGCGGCAAAGGAAAGCCTTGTTGCTGAGGAATAGTAAATGACTGATGTGCAAGTCAGATTAGTGTGCGCTAGCGTTATATAGTTTATGGACATCCACCTAACTAATCCCAGGTAGCTAGCTCCCAGTGAGGGCGGTGCAAGTGTTACATCGCGACGGGTCGGGAATTCAGGAGCACTCGTTGCCGCTGCACCTAACAGGCCGCCCAACTCACAGACCGACCGATCGATACGGCCATTGCCAATGCCAGGAAGCCATTGTTCTGCCTCTACGTACACTCATCTACTAGTATATGCTAGAGTGTAGTCTTGACTTGGCGCCCACGGGAGAGAGAGGAGCCGCACTAGGTTAGCTACCTGCAGTGCGGTGGTAGCTAACATATACACCACTGAAATTAAAATTTATCAGCACCTAGAGAGTGGAGTAGTGTATGCCTGCATGGTTATACATCGGTGTCATGGTAAGACCATACATCCACATCCATGATCGGTAAACTAAACTGGGAGACGTGCGCCTTTTGACGGTGGATCCCTGGTCTGGTCGGGGGATGGGCGGGGCGGTGAAAGTGGAGCGACACGAGAGACCGGCCGGCGGGGTGAAAAAAGTTGGCAGCTCCACTAGCGGTGCACCAGTCAGTGTACTGCGAAACACGTACAGTAGCTGGTGAGGTCTTCGACCAGGTGGGAAAAGGCCAACAAGAAAGGCACCAACTTTTGCATTTTTGCCAGAGAGAGGGAAGAGAGGAGCCCGGAAGCGGAGGGGGGCAAACGGTAGAGGGCAGCAGATGTGATTGGAATATCCAAATGTCACGGAAAGGAGAGCCCGGTCCTTGAAGAAAAGAGCCCAGAAAACAAAAAGGGATTGAGATGGCAACAACAAAAGCAGAGCCGCCGAGAGAGTCTGGTTCGAAGTATACGAGCGGCAGCATGGAGCCAAAGGTGTAGGTACGCGCGCGCACGTACGGGCGCGGGGCGTCCAGTATCTCTCTTCTTCGTGCGGCTGTCCCCTTGGCCCAGTAGTAGCATGGTCGATACTGGGCCCAGCAGTAGCAGATACTGGGCTCGATCGCCAGAGTTTTACTAGCGTAGTGTGTAGTAGGTAGCAAGCAGTAGCAGGAAACAATACGACCCAATTGACCCAAACATACATATGCATGTGGGCCGGCGGCCTCGATTTGAAGCTCTCCCCCGCCGGCACGCGCGCGGCGTGCGCGTGAACTTTCTTGGGGCGTATCTTTTTGTTGGCCCAGCAAGCACTCCTCAAAGTTGGCTATGCCTTGCCTGCGCAGTGCGCACCTGCACTGCATTGGGCAAAGGTTCGTGCTTGCACGTTCTCGCCAGTTGCCGCAATACTAGCTCATCTTCAGGCCAACTCCACCGCGCGACCACAAACGAACGTCCGGATTGGTCCGAATCTGTCTTTTTGGGGCGCCGATGGGTACGCCCGTGTCTGGTTGTGTCTATTGGGTCGTGCGTGCGTCCACCGCGCGGCCGCACCCCAAATCGTGTCCGGAGTGGACGGGAATAAAAAATTTAATTAAATAACTAAAAAAGCAAATAAACGCATTTAAAAAAACATAAAACATATATATGGGTTGGCCACAAAACGGCCCAGTTTCAACGGCCACTTAAAAGGCCCAGATTCATAATTAACATAATAAGAAAATAAAAAAAACTCCTCCCGCGCGCTCCTGCCGCGCCCGTCGGTGCCGTGGCCGTCGCCGTCTTCAATGGCCGCCGGTGTCGTCGTCGTCGCTGACGAGGTCGACGTACTCCGCCGGCATCCAGAGGTGGGCCGACGGTGCGTGGTGGACGGGGGCGGGCTGGACGGCCGGAGGTGCCTGCACCACCTCCTCCCGCGGCGACGCCTCCCGCTCCGGAGTGGGGCACCAGTTCACGCCCAGGTCGGCGGCCATCTCTGGCGCAGTGCAGGACCAGCCCCACCCCTGGCCCAGGAGCTGCTCGAACGCGGGCGGGTCCTCCTCCATCGGCTCCTCCGTGGCGGCCGCCGTGACGGCCGCCAGCTGCAGCTCCGGGAAGGCAACGTCCCCGGTGGTAGAGAGGGCCATGGCCTCCTCCAGGCCGTCCCACTGCCGCTCGTCGTGCGTGTTCATGGAGTCGTCCATGACACGCTGCAGGAGACGGGCCTCCTCCTCCGCTGTCATGCGAGGAGGGGGAGGGAGCGACGGAGACAGGGAAGGCGACGGCGTGGGCGTCAGGCCGCGCAGCCGCGTACGCCCATGCAGCTCTGCACGTGGCCTCCGCGGCCCCGACACGGTGGCGCCGAAGTAGGACGCGTGCCGCACGTCGTGCTCGTCCTGAAGCCATGTGTCCCAGAGCGGGGAGTCGGGGGCATACCTGCGGTCGTAGTACAGGTCGTCGGGGAGGAGGCGGTGACGGCGGTTGATCTCATCGCGTCGTGCACGGCCGATCGCCGACACTGGCGGGATGGGGACCCGGTCCGCGGAGAGGTGCCACCCGTTGGGGAGGTGGGCGTCGCTCCACGGGACCGGCGTCCTCGTCTCCCAGTACCTCCGGCAGACGTCCGCGCAGATGTACTTCCGGTCGCGCTCGCTGGAGGGCCTAGGGGCAATGGTGAAGGGGGCCGGCGTGGGGACTCGACGGGACGAGCGCGGCGGTGACGCGGGGGCTCGACGGGAGGAGCGCGGCGGAGACGCGGGCTCCTCCTTCTTCACGGAGCCGCGGCGGCGCCCCGAGGAGGAGCCGG